CACAGTGCATGCGATTCGGGGTGCGATGATCAATCTCCTGAAAGATGGTCTGCAGTTGGCTGTAGTATTTGTGGACGAGAGCACCATTCTGTTTAATGGTGAACGCCCATTTGTTGAGATCAAACAGAAAAGTTTCATCCCCCCCATCAAAGTAGGTTTTCTTCACGGCATCCCAGATTTCTTTGGCGGTACTAAAACGGATGAACCGACCCATCAAGTATGGAGACATGGAGTCGATGAGCCACCCTTTGACCCGAAAGTTCGCCGTACACCATTGGTTGTAAGTGGAGGAGGACTTAGGGGGCTGCGGAGTGTCGCCGGTGAGGTACCCCAATTTTTCGCGACTAGCAATACGTAACTCCATGACCTGAGACCATAAGGCATAATTGGTCTCGGTCAAGGTGATGCCGGTAGGAAACGAAGCATTGTCACTCTGAATAGTAACAATTTGGGGGGATGAGGAAGTGGATTCGGTGGTTTGGGAAACGATATCCATGGCAGCGGAAGGAAAATAGGTAGGGTTTCGGGGTGTGTTTAGGGTTTTAGGGATTCAGGGTTCAGAGTTTCAGGATTCAGGGTTTCGAGATTCAGGATTCAGGATTCAGGGATTCAGAGTGTTTTAGGGTTTCGGGGTGTGTTTAGGGTTTTGGGATTCAGGATTCAGAGTTTCAGGATTCAGGGTTTCGAGATTCAGGATTCAGGATTCAGGATTCAGGGATTCAGGATACGAGGATACGGGTTCGAGAAATTCAATACGAGGATTTAGAGACAACCTAGGATCGATTGCTCTGATACCATGCTAAAATATGAATATGGGTTTTCAATATGTTCAGATTATTTATTCTTCTCCATAAGGAGGTATATATATAGGTTTACAGAGTGCTTTACAAGGAATAAGATACTATCAGGAATTAGGAAAGTATCTCCTAATTATACACAGATTTGTCAACTAAATAGAATGGGAAAGTAAATCCCTTAATTAATCAAGGAAATAATTCTCCTTGATTAATTAGGAGACTCACGTCAACAAGGGGAGGGCAGGCTACTGGTTAGTCTGACGACTTTTCCCTTATGTATAGAGAAATTTGCCTAATTCTCTCGGCTCGTGTTCCATTTTAGTATCAATAATAAAATATCATTTTTTATCACAGAAAAAAACAACCTAAATATACCCCTTTGTTGGCAACCTAATTACTAATAAGTGATTGCAAAGGTATCTTAAGTAGGGGTGGGCGCGGTCCGGTTCGGCCCGGTTTGTAGCTCACACCGAAACCGGAATCGGTACTATTCATCCGGTCCAGTGCGGTCCGGTTTTTAAAAAAAACAGAAGAGAAACCGGATCAAGCCGAACCGGCTATTTCCGGTCCGATTTTCCGGTTTTCCAGTTTGAACCGGTTATTTGGCTAGTCACATACACAGTAATAAAAGAAAAGAGGGAGATCAGTAGACAATAAAGGAAAAAAAAAACTTAAATTTAGTTGAACAATTCTTACTTCTCTGATCCAAAATATTTGATTTTTCCTTTCATTCTCAGATCGCTCGACAGAAAAATAACTCTAAACAATCTAATGCTAGGTAAACCAGAAACCATAAACAAAACCCAAAAAAAAAATTACAAAACACCATATCTAATGAAACCCACAACAAAAAAACAAAAAAAAATATACAACACCAGATTTCTCCTTGCATGAGCCTCTGATGCTTGAATCTAGTCCTAGGATCTTCGTTACCAGCATATGAAGAAGGCTCCATAGTAAGAACCCCTTTCATCCTCTTCATCAGATCACAGAGAGAGAGAGAGAGTAAGTGAAAGAGTGAGTGAAGTTGCAGAGAGAAAGAGTGAAGTCGCAGAGAAGAAGAAGAAAAGAAAAGAAAAGGGAAAGGAAGAAAGGAAAGAAAAGTAAAAGAGGGGGGAGAGAGAGAGACAGAGCGAGAGAGAAGTTGAAGTTGCAGAGAGAAAGAGTGAAGTCGCAGAGAAGAAGAAAAAAAGAAAGGGAAAGGAAGAAAGGAAAGAAAAGTAAAAGAGGGGGGAGAGAGAGACAGAGCGAGAGAGAAGTCGAAGAGAAGAAGAAATAAGAAAAGAAAAGGGAGAAGAAGAAATAAGAAAAGAAAAGGGAGAGGGAAGAGAGAGAAGTGGCAGACAAGAAAGAATGAAGAAAAGAAAAGAAAAGGGGAAGGTGGGGAGAGAGAGAGAGATAAAAAGAAGGAAAAAGAGAGTGGCTTCGGGAAGAAAAAAGAAAGGGAAAAATAGGGAGAGTTGAAGTGGGGTTATGAAATGGGCTTTGAAAATAAAAGGTATTTGGGCTTTAAAGTTTGGGTTTTTATTTGGGTTAAGGAGAATTGGGCTTAAGTATGGGATATTTTGAAAAAAAAATAATAATTAATTAATACAACCGGTCCGGTCCGGTCCAATCCGGTTCTACAGTATGTGAAACCGGAACCAAAACTGGTTCAAATCGGTCCGGTCCGATTCGGTGCCAATTTGTTGACTTTTTTAGTCAATCGGTTTTTTTTTCGGTTTTTTCAGCTTGGTTCGGTCCGGTGTTCCGGTTTTCCGGTCCCAATGCCCACCCCTAATCTTAAGTAGCCTAGCAATGAGTAGCTACATGCATTTCCTCTCCATTAGCTAGTGAAAAATTTCCAAGATAAATATATAATTCCACAAAAACTACAAAGATTTCGTACAACTAGCAGAAATTGTTGCAATATTAGTAATCTTCCACAAAGACAAGTGGTGGACATTTAAAGTGTTATGGTCTTCTGATCATGTCTCCTTTGTAAACTCCAGAATGAAAAATGTTCAGGATGGTACCTGTAAATTAAATGAAAAATATAACTTAATTTTTATATGCAAACAATTCTATCGAAATTAATTATTTATATGAGGGGATTTTCAATTAGGATATGAGCAATAAACTCAAAATTAATTATCAATAATAGCCAACGGATCTAGTCTAGTAAAAAAGGACCTTAACTTGTAGTGGTCTCAAATTCGAATTCCTATGACATCCTTGTAGATTGTGTGAGAAACCTTTCTCCCTCTAGTAATTTCTCTTGTATTCAAAACATCATTTCAATTATTAATCCGAACCTCTTTGTACGTTTCGAGTCACTCTTTCTACCTTCACTTAATACAAATGCTCACCCTTTACGTTGTAACTTCCCAGTAAAATGTTATAATATCCTATATTAGATTAACCATTATAAATCACTCCTTTTAACATTTGTTAGCCCAAAAATAATATGTTTGAACTCTTTTAATTATCGGAGAAATAGTCCTTTTGGGACTTTCTTGGATTTGACTGATTGATCACTTGCTTTTTGTTGGAATTTATGTGGTGTATATTTTTTCTTCCTCAAGGAATTTAAGTCTCAAATTTCCATTCCACATACCAACTGTGAAGCAGGATGAGATAGTAAAATAAAACACACGACATTTATATTGTCCTCATTTGCATCATCAAATTTTAAAGTCATGCATATGCTAAGTTTAATTTGGCAACTTGTATAGACTAGTCCCTACAAAACTGGTTGTCTTCTACATTGGGTGGTAGTGTGCCCCTTGGGTTGGAGGTCCATTATCCCTTCACATTTTTTCTCTTTACAACATATTGTAAGGGAGAATATCATTCAAGACACCCTAAAGTTTTCTCTTGTTACAGTTAGAGCCCACATATTTGATTTATTCCACTAACACACTTTAGGCTCGTTCGGTAACATCCCACATCGACCAACGGAGAGGGGGTGATGTGCCTTATATGTACATGCCCACCTTCATCTAGCACGAGGCCTTTTGGGAGCTCACTGGCTTCAGATTCAAGGGGACTCCGAAGTTAAGCAAGTTGAGGCTAGAGCAATCCCAAGATGGGTGACCCACTGGGAAGTTGCTCGTGAGTTCCCAGAAACAAAACCGTGAGGGCAAAGAGAGGGGCCCAAAGCAGACAATATCGTGCTACGGCGGAGCAATCCCGGAATGTGATAATTTAGTATTAGAGCCACTCTACCGTGTGGTGCGAGTGTGCCGACGAGGACGTCGGGCCCCTAAGGGGGGGTGGATTGTAACATCCCACATAGACCAACGGAGAGGGGGTGATGTGCCTTATATGTACATGCCCACCTTCATCTAGCACGAGGCCTTTTGGGAGCTCACTGGCTTCGGATTCATGGAAACTCCGAAGTTAAGCGAGTTAGGGCTAGAGCAATCCTAGGATGGGTGACCCACTGGGAAGTTACTCGTGAGTTCCTAGAAACAAAATCGTGATGGCAGAGAAGGGGGCCAAAGCAGACAATATCATGCTACGGTGGAGCGATCCCGGAATGTGACACGTTCGGTTCACGAAATGAATTGTTTAGAAATGTGTTTCCCATGCCTATTTTCAAAGGATCGAAAGTAAATCATTCCATGTTAGCAAATACTGGAAAATGATAACTAGGAAAGCAAATTTAATTATGTTTCCATGGTTTGTATAATAATAGGAATTAAACTTTGCTTACTTTTATGTAATAGAGAGCAGTAAGTAAACTTTGCTTAATTGTGGAGGGCTTTTCTTCCTAGCAGATTTCGTGCTAGGATTTTGTCTCCCTTGTGTTTTGTAAGTCTTTCTAGTTTTATTTGAAGTTGTAGTTATTATGAACATGAGGAGCTAAACCCCATAGCTAGGGCTTAGGTTGAAGCCCTAAACATGATTACTCTATTGTTTTGATACTTGGGTTTATGAATTTCTAGATGTTGTTAATGAATTCTCATTCACTAATTGAATCTATCATTGATGTATGTTTTTCTTTGATTGATCACCTTTGAAAGCATGCTTCTTGAGGTTGTTGAGATTATATACCCTCATGTCTTCCTAAGCAACAAATGGATGAAGTAAGAATCATCCATGTGAATTGGTTTCTTGAATGCTTAATGTAAAC